CTAATGCCTTTTCTCTTTCTCGCGGTATGCCGGTTTGTAACAGAATATATGCATCTTCCCAAACCACAAATCCACCATTTACCATCCTCCCCGCCTCATCCCATCTTCCCTACTTCCATAACTCACGGATGCAGACCACGCATTACGTTCACTCCCACACCATCTCAATGTCGTAACTCATCCTCGCCGTCTGGTTATCTCGGGGTAGGTCGCACATCTACTCCTCGCAAAGATGAAATGAGTAGAGGAGAGAATACGTATGTTTCCATGCTGAGTTTGAGGGGGTGGGGTGTTGTCCTTACCGGCGGGTTATTGGGCAGGTTTGGATGAGTGGGGAGGTGTACACGATTCTTCACACAGAATACAGAAATGTCTTTCCACTCGTTCTCAGGTCTTCGCATCAAAATGACCTGAGTTAAATTCTATATATCCGCGACCTTACATGTGCAGAATCCGTGTATTTCCCCGCAACCCATTTCGAGGGTTCTACATGTCTTGATATTGTCTACTCCCGGCTGCATCTTTAGCGAAGGTATGGGGCATTGAGAAGGGGGGTAAGAAGTCTGAGGGAAGGGTATGCGGGTGGTTGCTCGGGGTGTGTGGGAGTTTTTCTTTTTGGCTTTTTGTGGCTTTTGGGGTTGTTGAGGTGGGAGGTTGTGCATGGGATGGGTGTGCGGAGAGTATGGGGTATCATCAACTATCTTTTTTCGTGCTGATGGGCTGGTTCTTGGGGGTAATTTTTGAGCGGTTTTGGTCGGATTTGGAGAATACATGCGCGTTTCTTTCGAGAATGCAGACGTCGGTTTACAAGTTTTCGATATCAGATCAGGTTGGTTCATTGTGTCTTGGACGCTTGAAATGGCCTGGGTAGATGGGGGTTGGAGACTACATGCGCGTTGTAGCAGAGTGTGTAGATGCTTCCTCGCCCATTGTCATTGTCTGATCAAGTCATTCATATCTTCATATGCTCTTTCTGTAGGCCACGTTCTCAGGATCGGGATCAGGATGAGGGGATACAGGATACTCCTATCATTTTTTATGATTTTCGAGTCACATTAGTGTTCGTCAGAGAGTTCCAATGAGTTGCCCTATAGACGATTGGCCATCAATCCTTGGGTTTCCCCGCTTCCGACTATTCCAGGGTGCACGTCTACCATGGTTGAGCATTGCAAAGCTATATCAACACCACCCGCCCCCAGTTTTGGACTCATCATCTCAGATCATACAGTCAATTCCGCACTACATCCCAACATGACACCGACAAATCCCTTCTCGCGGAAATTCCAACGCATAACCCCCCAACGCTGGGCGATATACAGCGCTGCTTCTCTCCTGGCCGCGCTCATCTACCACTTCCTCGTCGTAACATGGGGTCGAATCAGTCTTGCATGTGTTGTGCTCCTCCTGGCTGTGTGTACCACGCAATACCTCGTCCACAGTCGCAGCACGCTACAGTTCTCCCACTGCCTCGTTCTGTCTATATGCATGCTTCTTCTCGGCCCCGTATCGAACCTGATCTCCGGCTACCTCTTCTCCGAATCCGCCGCGATCCCCACGATCCAACCTCCCGCGGTTCACTTCGCGCTTTCCTTCATCTTCATGTCGGACATGGAGTGGCTCCGTCTGCGCTTCGATGAGCACGACAACTCCGCCGTGTACGCCGACCTAACCAACTTCCCCTGCGGGTACAACATCGACGCGTACATTGACCCGCCGCCCAACGGCGCGCGGGAATACACCCCCAGCTCCTTGCTCGGCGTGTTTCTCCGCAGCTTTCGCGGTCTGCCGCCCGACCTACTTCTCACTGGCGCGTTAGGGGCGAGCTCGTACATTCTCAACAGCGCTGTGCTGTGGGCGCTGCACCCGCAACGTCTGCATGACAATGAGGTGACGACGGCATGGGGGTATGATATCTTCACGTCGAGCAAGGAGTTCTGGCCCTCGATGCTGAGTGGCGTGCTTATGCGGCCGGTGAGGCTGCTGATTGCGTTGGGATTTGCGTGGGTGGGGGAGGTGTGGGCGGCGTTTTGGAGGAAGAGGAAGGCTGGACAGGAGGTCGTCGGGAC